CACCAGGAGATTGATTCCCCAACCACCTCATAAGAATCAGCAACTGAGACTTCAGGGCTGTTGGCACATTGAAAAAGTAGAGGATAAGCTTCAGCCAGGGGAATATCTAAGCACCAGGAGTCCTTCCAAAACTTCAACCTATCTCCCCTACCAATCTTGAGAGCTAGGCCATCAGAGAAAACCGGAAAGTATTTCATGATTCATTTCCAAAGGGAGCAACCCCAGCTCTGAAAAGGATCCAAGGATTTCCAATTACCCCAGTCCACCCCATATTTAGATGCAATTAGGGTCCTCCACCAGGCAGTCCTCTCAACACCAAACCTCCAAAGCCATTTTCTGAGAAGAGAAGAGTTAAAAACCTTCAACTTCCTTATTCCCAAGCCTCCATCCTCCACGGGGAGGCAAACCTGATCCCACTTAACTAGATGGATTTTTCTTTCTTCCTCCCAATCTCTCCACAGAAAATTCCTCTGAAGGGACTCCAACTTCCTTGCTATTTTAGAAGGGATGGGAAAGAGAGATAAGAAATAAGTGGGAAGGTTTGAAAGAGTACTTTTTAGGAGAGTAACTCTACCCCCTGAGGAAAGATACTTAGCTTTCCAGGATGCTAGTTTCCTTTCCACCCTTTCTACCACTAGATCCCAGATAGCACTCGAGGTACACTTGGCCCCAAGAGGGAGCCCTAAATACTTCCCAGGAAGATGATCCACGTGGCAGGCAAGGACCTATGCCAACTCATCCAAACAGTCAACTTGGCCCACTGGAAGTAGAACACTATTCCCCAAGTTTACTTTGAGTCCAGATACCACTTCAAACCATCATAGGATCCCAAGCATACTCTCCGATTGATCCTGTGAAGCATCAATAAAACACAAAGTATCATCTGTGAACTGTAACATGTGCACCTCCCCCGCCCGTGTTGATTTCAAAACCCTCTCACTGACCATCAGAAACAACCACCTTACTAAACTGAAACAGCACCTCCATAAGACATATAAAGAGCAAGGGAGAAAGAGGGTCCCCTTGTCTAATACCCCTCGAGCTCTCAAAGAAGCTTGTAACTTGTCCATTGACCAAAACTGAAAACTTAGGGGAAGTAACACAAACTTTCATCCAGTTCCTCTATTTTTGCCCAAAATTCATTCTTGCAAGTACAAAATCCAGACATCTCCAATTCACATGGTCATAAGCTTTCTCAATATCCAATTTGCAAATCGGGCCTGGTGTCCTAGTTCTTCTCCTATAGTCAATGAGCTCATTTGCAATAAGCACACTGTCCTAACATCTGTCTCCCAGGAAAAAGGCACTTTGATTTTCGGATATCACACTAGACAGGACCTTTTTCATCCTCTCAGCCAGAACTTTAGCCAAAATCTTGTAAAAGCTATTGAGAGGACTAATAGGTCTAAAGTCCTTGATGTTAACTGCCCCAACCACTTTGGGAATGAGAGAAATAAATGTGGCATTTAGACTTCTCTGCAAGGAGGCACTACTATGGAAAGTCTAGAACACATTTAGCACATCTTGTTTGGTGAACTCCCAACACTTCCACATAGAACAGGCTTGTCAAACCATCCGGCCCAGGAGATTTCTCTGCCTCCATCTTATTAATTGCTTCTTTAACGTCCATCTTAGTGAAAGGACCTTCAAGATAAGCTTTCTGCTCATCAGAGAGCCTTTTGAAGTGGGTGTGAACAGGGAGAGATCTAACCGGCCAGGGCTCTTTATACAACTTCTTATAAAAAGCAGAGGCCAAGGCTTTAATTTCAGCAACCGGTTCACCAATTCTACCCTCACACTCTAACTTGCTGATCTCCTCAACTCTATTTCGAGCATTGGCCATTTTATGAAAGAAGCCACTATTATTATCCCCCACCTTGAGCCAAGTAGATTTAGCTCTCTGTCTCCACCTAATTTCATCTTTAACAGCTAGTTTATCAAATGTCACCTTGGCTTGACATCTTTTCAGCCTTTGCTCTTGAGAAATCTGACCAACTTCTTCAGCTCTATCCACCTCTTCAATCACACTTGAGACAAGCCCTTTTTTCAGTCTCCAAGGACAAACTATTCTCCAGCTTCCAAATTCTGATTTTTTTCTTTAATTATCCCCAATTTTTTTGGCTAGGATGTGGGAGCTAGAGCCATTCACTTGACACTCATTCCAGAATTTGTTCAGCAAAGGCAGGAAACCCTCATCCTCCAACCATGCATTTTCAAATCTGGAAGGGACCTTGATTTTCTCTATGGAGCCACAAATTAACTGGATGGGGCTATGATCTGAGACAGGTCTAGGAAGAGCAACTTGCTTAAAGGAGGGAAACAACTCATCCCAATCAGAAGAAACCAGAAACCTGTCCAATCTAACCAACGTAGTAGATTCCTGATTGTTTGTCCATGTGAAATTAGCACCCACCAGCGGCAAGTCCATTAATTTAAATCTGTTTAGAAAGTTAGCAAACATGTTCATTGCCCTTGTTCTTCTTCCCCTCGTGTTTTTTTCTTCAGACGACAAAGTCACATTAAAATCCCCTCCAATAGCCCAAGGACAATCAAGATGCCCTATAGAGCTTGCTAAATCTTCCCAGAGCTCACTTCTTTGGCTATTTTCTGGAGGACCATAGATATTTGTAATTTGGCAGACCCCCTCATTTTCCCATTTTGATCCAAACCTTCTTAGAATCATAATGAGGGTCTTTTGCAGATTAACCTTAATTTGTACCCTAGCAGCATTAATATGCAGAATGCCAGAATAAAGGCCTAGAATTTTTTAATCTCAGAATAGATCGTTCATGGTCCGCTATGCTAATTGGAATAGATAGACAAATCTGATAGCCCTAGGCTTATAGAACATGATTGGCTATCTCAAGTCTCAAGTGAGTATAAGGTGTCCTTGGGTTTGAGAAGGATGACGGTGACGTCGGTATTGCACTGTTCAGCCGGGACTAGGTGGACTAGTGCAAAGCCAGCCTGCGTGAGCGCCGGGACTGTGGAAGCGTGGTGGGATGTTACGATCCAGTTGTCTTATGTTGGTAGTATGGGATGCTAATGTGAGGCATCCCACATTGGTAGAATGGGATGCTGTTGTGGGGTATATATGTGCTTGGTTCCCTCCCTCTAACAGCTAGCTTTTAGGGGTGAGTTCTCCTAAGTCACGTATCATGACTGATATAGGTAGAGAAGAATAAAGATGAAGATGCGGGTATTAAGCAAAAGATGATTAAGTGGGAGGAGGGGGTATAGCCTCTTTTATAGGAGCTGTAGGCTTTGGGAAATCAGCATTTGATCAAAGGCCAGACTTTTGGAGCAAGGCAGAGACTAAAACTTAACTATGGTGGGTGTTAGTCCAAAAAAGGCCATCTCTCTGTGCTCTTTTCAGGAGAATCTTGTTCACACATTTGGAATCTAAATGGTGCTATTAGATTCATCCTAGACAGGATGGTAATAGTTGAAAGGGAACATGAGCGTTGTTTGATATCATAAGAAAAATTCATCTACATGTTTCATTCATGAACATCTTCTTTTCTTTAGACTATGTTTGGTTTGAAGGAAAAGGTAGGGAAAAGTGAGGAAACTTATACGAGGTTTGTAAAGGTTTCCCTACCTTTCCCTTCCTTTCCCTACTTTTTCCTTAAAACCAAACATAGCTTTAGTGTATTGAGGCTAAGGTTTCATTGCTAGCACCATCAGGTGTAAGGAGGAGCATTATATCTAGAGGACAGTTTTTCACTTTTTCTTTCTTTTTTTTAAACTTTTGAAGAAAGGTCTACATATATTTTTCTTTTTAGTTGCTTTTTATGATTTGTGGGTGGTGTTCAATCCTCTGTCAACCTCACTCCTTTTTACTCCACATCCTCTATTTTCTCTTTCTAGGGAGAGCTGTTATGTATGGTGGGGCAGTTGGCTGTTCACTCAATCTAAGGCCTTGTGCTTTTTGTTTAAGAAAAAAACTGTCAATATGTGCACACACATCCACCTTGGCTCATTTTAGTAAGATTATTCAAGCAATTATCCTTAGGATTATCACCTCAGTAATATATTTTGTAAAAAAAATCAACCAAAAACTAATCAAAGGATCAAGCTAACAAGCACCATGAAATATAAGAAACAAAAGGAAAGACAAGCAAATCAAATAAAGGAAAAGAATCAATGGATTAATTCAATGAATTAAATGGTTAACAAGGGATTAATTGACCAAAGGAAAGACGAGCTAAAACACAAGGGATGGTGTTGCCTAAATTATCATGGCATCAACTTAAGAGAATATTGTGGCAGCAATGTTTGCAATCAATTGTACTTTGTTAGTTCTTTTAGATCGGATTTTCTTTGCCTAGTTCTCTTTCCTTTCTCTTCTTTGCCTTAAATTGATTGCGCTTTTTGCAACCTTTTGTGGTCAATTACATGAAATCTGATTTACATTTCCCTCTATTTATGGCTGTCTTTTGTTTACTTGTGTCCTTATGTCTCCCACTACTACATTGCACATGATTTCTTTGTCCTTGTAAAGCCTTCAATTTGTTATGGTCATTGGTCTCTGATGTGCACGTCCAAACCATCTCAGACAACATTATCTCATTTTGTCAACTATTCAAGCCAACCCTTGGTCGACAAAGGCATTCTTTATAGTTTTTCTAGTCATGTTGTATTTTAACTGCCCAAGATTCCGTCACAAAGTCTTACAGAAAAGAAATGTTTCTAAAGCATTGTTGTTCCTGTAGCTTTAACATGCATCATAACAAAGTAGCACAGAGATGAAGTCATATGTAAGACCTTCCTACATCGATGCAATATGTAAGATAATGTAACCTACCTTTAAACAGATAATGCGTATATGCAATATGCAAGATCTTCCTACACCGATGAAATCATATTTAATCGACTAATTTGATCAAAGAATGATTCTTACCCTACATTTATGGGAAGAAATATATGCCTCGTAAAGTTTTGGAAATGCTAATCTGTTAGTCTTACATGTCATTTAAAAATTATCTGCTAAAATGCAGGAAATTTCAGCTTTACAGAGAGGCTATCAGTGAAATATGCTGGAGCTGCAGCTATGTACTTTGTCTCCAAGAATCTGAAGAAGAAATATAACATAACTGATGAACGTGCAGCATTGTACGAAGCCGCTGAAACATGGGTGGATGCTCTAGATGGTCGGGATTTTCTTGGTCTGTAACTTAACCTCATCTTACTTAATCAGTAGGATATCCACACCAAACTCCTTGTTTTAATCCCAACCTAGTTAACCTCTGCACATTCTTCATGTCTACAGGTGGCTCCAAGCCTAATTTAGCAGATCTTGCCGTGTTTGGAGTTCTAAGACCCATCAGATACTTGAAGTCTGGTAGAGATATGGTGGAGAACACTCGCATTGGTGACTGGTATGCAAGAATGGAAGAAGCCGTTGGAGAGTCTTCAAGGATTAAATCCATAGAGCAGTAGAAGATTTTGCCATTTGCATCCACGATGGTGTTTTATGCCCCAACTATGGGTAGCAGGAATGATGTCCGATCAAGAACCCTAGAACATGGAGGAGAAAATTTTTGCATTCTTTCTCTCACATAAAAGAATTTTGATACATTGAGGGGATCTTTTAGTTTAATATATTTAATGTGTTATAACTATTAATTACTTGGGCACTGGGCAGAGTTATTTTTAACTCGATTTGAATTTTATGAAGTAAAAGCAATAATACTGTTTTTGATCTGGTTGAAGCCAGGCCATAGATAGGCGTGTAAAGGTCCAGTGGGTAATCGTCATGAGACTGGAAATTCAGGGACATTATGATCCATCCAGTTACTATAATAAGGTGTAAACATACATGACATAACATTCAGGAAAGTTTTCTTTGTGGTCTTTAGTTCTCCCATTGATTAATGTATTCCATGTGATTAAATCTTACTTTGACATATGACACTTAAATTTTGCTCATATCACCTAGATATATTTTGGATATATGCATTTAATAATATTTTATTATTGAATGACAAAATAACATCTCTATGGTTGCTAGTAGGATCCTAATTTGCCTTGTTAATTTATTAGTTTTTTTCTCAAATTCATATTTCTACATAATTTTTTTTTTCTTTTTTTTGTGGGCTTTTTCTTATGGGTTTGGAGTACTATGGCAAAGGGAGTTGGAAGAACATTTCTAAACATTATGTGCTAACTGCTAACTAGAGCATCTACCCACGTTCAAAGTCATGCACAAAGTATTTCAGTATTTGGCCTCGAACAATTTGACCATAAAAGGAGAGACGTTAACCAGGCATTATATCACATTTGTTGATATAGTGCAGCAGTAAGACGAATGCTATGTTGAAATCCTAACTTCAATTTCAACCTTAGCCACCTTTTGTCTTTGTGTCTATTTGACACATCAGCGCCATGTTGGAAAAAACGGTGTTCCAGGAAATGTCAATATATTTGGAACTGTTTTTTCATAAAAAAAAATGGTGTTCTAAGTCATGTTTTGGAAATCAATAAGGCGTGGTTTGGACTTTGGAGCAATGTCGAATTTGATGTTTTTTCATATTGGAGCTTCTTGTTGCCAACGAGAACATGATGTGATAGTGATGTGGATTTTCTATAATGGTACAACTTTCAGTGCTAAAAACAGATATGGAGCACTAGTACCAAATAGAAGGTGTTGTTGTTTCAGGAAACGTCCTACCTGACAGCAACATTTCCAAACAAAAAAAAAGATATCATTTTCTTAAAAAAACGGTGCTTCCAACCCATACATCAGCAGAACGGTGCTATATCTGCAGCATCGATGCCAAACATATACTTAGCCACCTTTAGTACATCTCTGTCTGTTGGAATTATTATTTTTATGGTTAAATTTCAGATAGTGCTTTTGAAAGCATGACTTCCCTTGTAGATCTTGATTTTAGTTACACTTGGTGAGCTTGGAGGCATGGTACCAAGGTCATTGAGTATGCTCTGCAACTTGTACAATTTATTGTACACTTGCCAGAGCAGTTAGGAGAGAATATAAGATTCCTAGTCGCCCTATTTCTCTTGGGCATCTTTCCATCCCATCGTATAAACTGGGGCCTGGATTGGATTTCTTATATAGACTTCTCAATTATAGATGTTTTCAATACAAGCTTACCAGGAAGCATTAAATTTTCAGATGTATTAGAAGCTTGTTTGGAAAGTATGGACCCTAAGAATAAGAAATAATTTCAGTTAATGTGTTTTGATAAACTGAACTATATTAGATAAATGAGTTCATTATAATGAAAGGGGTTGTAAAATTAAACTCATACATGGCCTAGTTTTCTCTTAAAGGTGCATTCGCTGTACTAATATAGAATCAGAACAAGTCAAAAGATGGTGACTGGTGAGATCTTGCTGACTGATGAGTTCCTTTTCCTTGCTTCCCATTTTCTAAGTTTTGGATTGCAATAATCCCCATTACAACCACCCATTTCTGGTGGGAAATTTCTAATAAGTCGAGATTGATGGAAACCATTCTTTTCCATCCCAACCATAATCTGCAATTACTACAATAAAATCCAAGAAAGAAAAAAAAAAGACTGTGCATGACTAGTGGGTTGATTATGAGTCTATAAGTCCTTTTAATACTCCTTTACAGAACCAATTTGCATTGTGAAAACTAAGTTTTGCTTCTCACCAAGAAAAAACTATGGTCACATCATCCAATGGCCGTATGGTTACTCTGTTTCACTTGTTTCTGCTTCTACTGGCAAAAGGGTTGAGTAGTATTTCTGGATTCCCAAACGCGAGTTGCATCGAGAGTGAGCGCGTCGAGCTCTCCTCGAGTTCAGACTAAGTCTTACAAATCCATCGAACTGTCTCTCATCTTGGGTGGGCCATGATTGCTGTGCATGGAAGGGAGTTGAGTGCAGCAAAAGCAATGGTCACGTCCTCAAGCTCCATCTTCGAAACGCTGTTTACTTAAGCGATGACAACGTTGATGATTATTTCGACGCATTCCTGGGTGGTGAGTTAAATCCTTCGTTACTTAGATTGAAACATTTGAATTATTTGGACCTGAGCAGAAACGACTTTAGTGCAACTCATATCCACAGTTTCCTTGGCTGGCTCCCTGAAACAGTTGACGTATCTTAACCTCTCTGATGCAAGTTTCCAAGGGAAGGTTCCACCTCAACTGGTTAACCTCTCAAACCTGCAGCACCTCGATTTCAGTTTTCTTTCAGGAGTAAGGTTTGATGAACTGGATTGGCTGTCTACTCTGTTTTCTCTGTTGTTTCTGGACCTCTCTGGGAATAGTGTTTCTCAGTTAAGTGGGTGGTTTCATGCGATTAACATGCTTCCTTCTCTTCGAGAATTACACTTAAAATATTGCCAACTTCCCCAGTTGCATGTCAATTTCGCATCTCTGACTGTCCTTGATCTCAGTGAGAACCAATTTAGTTCCACAATTCATCTCCGGTTGTTTAATCTTAGCCACCTTGTAAATCTTGATCTGGGTCGGAATCGTGTTCATGGTTCAATTACAGATAATGCTTTTGAAAGCATTCCCTTATAGATCTTGATTTAAGTCATAATGAGTTTGAAGGTGAGATACCAAGCCATTGAGTATGCTCTGCAACTTGAGCAGTTTAGATTTGTCAAAAAATAAATTTAGGGGAGAAATATCTGGGTTCTTGGAAAATTCCTCCCATTATTGCATTCATGGGTCTAAATTACAGACTTTGAATCTCGGAGGGAACAACTTTACTGGGCACTACTTGCCGGAACATTTAGGAGAGTATAAGAATCTTGAACGCATTATTCTTTATTCAAACTCATCTTCTGGCCCAATCCCCATTTCTCTTGGCCAACTTTCAAGACTACAAGTGTTTGATATATCTAATAATTCCTTGGATGGTTTCATATCTTAAATTCACTTAAATAAGCTCTCAAGAATGAGATATTTAGACACGTCCTCAAATTCAGTTTCACGTGGGTTTCTCCTTTTCAACTCATTGTTATTATAATGCCATCTTGCAAACTGGGGCCTGGATTTCCTCTGTGGCTCCAAAAGCAAAGGAATTTTTCATATATAGATGTTTCTAACACAGGCTTATCAGGCAATATCTCCAATTGTTTTCAGAACCTCTCCTGTCGTGCTTCCCACATCAATCTCTCAAAAAATTTGCTTTCAGGACACATTCCCTCAAGTATTGGTTATACAATCCCCAACTTGTGGATCTTGGATCTTTCAGATAACAGATTGACTGGTAAAATACCCTCAACAATTTGCAAAGTGCAGGAACTGATATTTCTTTGTCTCTCAAACAATCATTTCCTTGGAGAGCTCCCTCAGTGTCGGGATGTCAATTTTCATTATTTTTGGAAACCAGATTTGTCGAGTAACAAACTATTTGGACAGATTCCAAGTTGGATAAGTTCTCTATATATCCTCACCTCATTACATTTAAGCATAAACAATTTCTCCGGGGAGTTTCCTTCTGCTTTGAAGAATTCATACCGTTTAGAGACTCTTGATCTTGGTGAGAACAAATTCTCTGGGACAATCCCTCCATGGATAGGAATTGAAGGAACCATTCACAGCTGAAGTTTCTCAGTCTTCGATCAAAAATATTTCACGGATACATTCCACCACGACTTTGCCACCTTCAACTTCTACAAGTAATAGATCTTTCACAAAATAATCTGTTGGGAACCATTCCTCCTTGTTTAGTCAATATTCTTAGTGCCATGGTTTTGTTGAATGAAACTAGGGATGATGATTCCATCATTCCATGAGCATGCTTGATCATATTCCCTGGGACTATTATACTGATAATTCTCAGCTAGCGCCGATGTTTTATAGGCATGAAGACAAATTGGCTGTGACTACAAAAGGAATAGAACTCTTGTATACCAAGACACTTCAGCTCGTAACCAGCTTGGACATCTCTAGCAACATTTTAGTCGGAGGGATCCCAGAAGAGCTAACAAATCTTCATGGATACGAAGTTTAAATGTATCAAGAAACAATTTGACAGGAAAAATACCACAGAATCTCTGGATTTTTCGAGAAACCAGATTTCTGGTCCAATTCCTACAAGCATGTCTACTTTGACCTTTCTAAGTCACCTCAACTTGTCCTTCAACAACCTTTTTGGTCCAATTCCCAGGATTATGTGGACCTCCACTCAAGAGCTGCATAGTAGAAGATGGTGATTTACCTCCAACAAATGTTCCAATGCCAATTGTTAGTGGAAATTGAGCAGGAGAAGAGGACAAAATGCTTTGGTTTTATGCTGGAATTGCACCAGGATTTGTAGTTGGGTTTTTGGGAGTTTATGGTGTGTTGTTTTTCAACAAGTCTTGGGGGTATGCATACTTCCATTTTCTTGACAAAATCTGCAACAAAGTTGTAGTAGCAGTGGCAGTATATGGGGCTAAGCTGAAGAAAATATGCAGAAGCGAAGATGGAGAATAAGGTGCACTCAAGTATCGCTTCGTTCTCCTAGGCCCTGTTTGGCAACATTTTGTGAGAGTGTTTCTATTGTTTTCTGTGTTTTTGCAGAACAAAAATGTGTTTGGCAAAAAAAAAAAAACAACAAAACAAAAGAAATGAGTCATTCCCACATGAGAACAACACCCAAAGAATGCACTCTTTGGAAGGGGAAAACCTATGATGTGGAAAAGATATGGTATGGGAAGAGTTTTGATCAATCAAAACCCACCTATGAATTTTGATAAATAACCCCTGATTAGCTGGGTCCGGATGTAGTAAGCACGCTAGGTGAGCACATTAAGTAAGCACTTAATAGCGTGCTGACATTTGGCCCAGCTAAAGCACCTTGCATCCAAACTCCAAACGTTTTGTTCTTCCGTTAGTTATTATTTATTATTTTAATATTTGTGTTAAAAATAAAAAAACCAAAAACCAAAAAGGAAAACCTGTCCCATTAATGCGTCGGTCTCTCTATCTCCAATTTATTTATTCTTTTAATATTTGTGTTAAAAATAAAAAATAAAATAACCAAAAAGGAAAACCTGTCACATTAATGCGTCGGTCTCTCCATCTCCAACCTTTTGCCATTTAGGGTTCTTCCACACCTCTGTACATTCAGCGCCATTGCAACTGGTTACTTGGGGCAGCAGTTCTTCAAGTCCTCACCTGCGATTTCATCTCAAGAAACCCATCCATCAAATCTCAAGTGACTATAGTCTATCATCGCTATATATGCTTTACGGTTTCAATTTATCTCCCACTTTCATTTCTTTAGGGATTTGCATAAACAATATGGGATTTCAAACAAAACGCAAATTTCTGATTTTCTGGAATGGTTTTGTCGGATTTTTGTGGGATTTTATCTCTGTAACCATAAGTTCAAACCATGATATATTGATTGGAAATGTAGATTATGTTACTGATCATTCGCGGTATGGATGGACCCTCCCCATCTTGTTGCAAAGGTAATGGTGGGAGATCATCTATGACGTATGTTCTTTACCACTTTTTTTTCTTTTAGTTGAAACTTAGTGATTTAATCCCTTTTAATTTGGTTGGAAGAGTCCTATAAAGATGGGCGTTATGTTGTTCAACAGCTTGGTAAGATTGGATTTAACATACTTATTAACTAGTTTGGTCTGGAATCATCTACAATGGTCCTCATCACTAGTAATCATGCTTTTGTTAATTATTAAAACTTATTAGTTAAAAGTAACTAATACAAATCTTTGTTCTTTGTAACTTTTTTCTATGTACAGCATTTTTCCCTTGCAACTTCAATTTGTATTGTAGGATATAGGTGTACTTGGATTAGAATTGAGTTGGGGTATCACTTGGTTAATCATTAAAAAGGGCTATCTTTGTTTCTTAGTTGTTGGTGCAAAACTAGTAGCTCTTGGAATCCATTTCCAAGAGCTAGCACTATTTGGTTAAATGCTCTAGTACAAACAACTTTAAAACATGTCCATAGATAGAACAAAACAATTTAAACAATTGATTGGGATGACTTGTGAGAATGATTAGCCTAGATTATGGTTTCTGCAACTTGTTTTTTTTTTTTTAGAATCAACTTGTTTCTTTGTGAACTTTATTTGCTACCAACAACGTTAAGATGTTGGAAATTTGTCCATCCAGTTTTTTCTTGAATTTATTTTCTTCTCTTAACTCTTGTAGGAATATATTACAAGAACATGCAACACAAGGCTAGTAAAAAATCTCCTCAATATGCTTTTCATTTTCATGCTAATTGCATTCTATCTAATACCTAATTTTTATATTTTTTTTGCCTTTTGTATCAGCAGTAGATGTAATTTTTGATTGGTGCATCCTATACAATTTTTAAGACATGTCTGAATTAGCATATGCATACAAATTTACTACTTGGAAGATGGTTGGATGCAAAAAGCAAAGTTTTGGAGTAGTTCGAAGAGCATGTATCACTATAAGAGAATAGTAGTATGGAATGTTTTGAGAAGCAAGTTTCCCTCTTGGAGGATAGATTGAAATTAATAACATGTCAAATGCATTATACTTATTATAGTATTGTTATTTTATTGGCGGTATGGCTAAAACAATAGACTTCAGAATGAGCATTATTAGTTATGTAAAGATATGGCTAAGTTATATTTGGGACATCAAATTATTTGAAGTTTTTTTTTTCTTCTTGTTGTGTTCATATGAAATTTATGGCCGGGATTGGATTACCAAAAAAATTATGGGATTGTATTACTAAATGTAATGGAAATTAGTAATTTGTCAATACCAAATGGGCAACTTGAACCCTAATTGTAACTCTTTTGACTCCTAAGTTGCATACTCTATGTCAATTTATTAGGCTATGTTTGATTTGCTAGAAAATAAAAGATGGACATGTTAAAGTAGAGTTTTTAACAAATTTTGTGAAATTTCTTTAAAAATTTCCCTCAAATTTCGGTTCTTTCAAACTAAGCACAGCCTCAACGATAACAACTTGGAATGTAACAATTTTATTTTATGAGAGTTAAGAACTATGGGTCCATTTGGATCATAATCATAATCGAAATTGAAATTGGTATATTCCCCCACCTGAATTGAAATAAGCTAGTAGGGGATTCTTCTTCCCTAGGGAGGGGGGAGGGAATGGGGGAATGTCATTCCACCAAGAATTGGAGTCAAATTCCAATTCTACCCAACCAAAATAAATCCCTCAAATTAAGTGTTACCTTTTGGTGCAAAAATAAAGAAAAATTTCATAAATTTTGCATATATAGTAGCAAGAAAAAGCTTCCCCAAACACACTAGGCTCATTGAAAGGCTACAAATTCCAAATTTCAAGCTTGAATTAGTATCGAATGAAAGGCCAATACCCAATTCATATCCCAACTAAACAAAAGAAAAAATCAATAAAAATATGCTAAGCAAAAGATAATTACTTCCTTGGTTACAATGATATTATTAACCAAAGAAACTATAAAAAAAAATTACCAATAAAAGAAACTATAAAATATGTGCTTAGCATGTATAGAAAAAAACTATATCAAAAATCATAGCCATGCTTCCAAAAGAGAATTGCAAGGCTTTTGTACAATTATATGCAATCAGATTTCATAGAAAAGAATTGTCCAAGTATCTCTTGTATTCCTTTATCTCTTTGCCCTTCAATTCCTGCATTCAAATACAACTAAAAGATCTAAGACTTAATTATTAAAGTTTAAAATTTAAATGACATAGATAACTTCGCTAGAGGAAACACCTTTTTCCACTTTTTACCTACACTAGATATCATGAATTGATACGAGTTTTCGAACATTCTGTCACTTTTTTTAAAAGCTTTTCTGTAGTCTCCATAACAACCTTGTAAGCATTCTTAAAATGTAAAGCTCTATTTGCTATTTGGGAAAGCAAACAATTCATTTCAGATGGCTAGAGATTAGATGAATAGGTTTCTTGAGATTGGACGAATGGGTTTCTTGAGATGAAATCGCAGGTGAGGGCTTCAAGAACTACTGCCCAACCAAATTAAAAGGGATTAAATCACTAAGTTTCAACTAAAAGAAAAAAAAGTGGTAAAGAACATACGTCATAGATGATCTCCCACCAGTACCTTTGCAACAAGATGGGGAGGGTCGATCCATACCACGAATGATTAGTAACATAATCTGCATTTTTCCAATCAATATATCATGTATTGAACTTATGGTTACAAAGATAAAATCCCACAAAAATCCAACAAAACCATTCCAGAAAATCAGGAATTTGCGTTTTGTTTGAAATCCCATGTTGTTTATACAAATCCCTAAAGAAATGAAAGTGGGAGATAAATTGAAACCGTAAAGCATATATAGAGATGATAGATTATAGTCACCTGAGATTTGATGGATGGGTTTCTTGAGATGAAATCGTAGGTGAGGGCTTCAAGAACTGCTGCCCCAACCAACCAGTTGAAGGTGCAGAGGTGGGAGAAGTTCAGAACCCGCGAATGAGGAATACAATGGCTAGAGATTGGATGAATAGGTTTCTTGAGGTTGGATGAATGGGTTTCTTGAGATGAAATCGCAGGTGAGGACTTGAAGAACTGCTGCCCCAAGTAACGAGTTGCAGTGGCGCTGAAGGTCCAGAGGTGTGGAAGAACCCTAAATGGCAGAAGGTTGGAGATGGAGAGACCGGTGCATTAATGGGACAGGTTTTCCTTTTTGATTTTTTGTTTTTTATTTCTGACACAAATATTAAAATAATAAATAAATTGGAGATGGAGAGACCGATGCATTAATGGGACAGGTTTTCCTTTTTTTATTTTTAACACAAATATTAAAATAATAAATAATAACTAACAGAAGAACAAAACGTTTGGAGTTTGGATGCAAGGCGCTTTAGCTGGGCCAAATGTCAACACACTATTAGGTGCTTACTTAATTTGCTCACCTAGCGTGTTTGCTACATCCGGACCCTGATTAACTACCACGTTTATGATTCCAGTTGACTGGTTAGAAGTTTTTCAGATATCATATCTTGCCCATATCATAGTCGAATCCCTTTAGAAGTGACAAATTGACGTTCTCAAAGAACACGTTCTATGGGAACGTGCAGTTCCCACAACATCCATGTCTAATAACACGAGTGAAATGTCCCCACGTGAGAGAAGGGATGCTATTGTCATTTCGTGCAAAAAATATAAACTCAAACCCTATATAACAGCCCTGTATAACTCCGAAAAAACAGTAAAAGGGATCGCCAAAGCTAAGTCGGAGAGGCTGCTTAAGAACGAGTAGCAAGTCAGTACCAGCCGTTGAGTCTCAGCTGTCGTCCATCATTGGTTTCATATGTTCAACAGCCATTGAGTATTGGTTGTTGGCCATCAACAGGTCATCAGCAGCCATTGTCGTCATTCAACCCATCATAAAGGTCCAATCTTAGTTTCCTCCACCTTGAAGAGTTGCTACGCATGGGATGATTTCAATCTGCTATCAGGAATGGAGGTCATTATCACCCAAAATTTGTTGTCGCCATTGCAGGACAATCCTTGCGCTCGTCCCTCTCCTCCACTGATGCAGAACGTTCTTTTAAATTTCATGTCCTCCTGCCACGTGATACGTTTTTTTTTTTGTTAATTTTAGACTTAATGTGAACGGATTCGTAGAACTGATGTTAAGAAATAGTTTCATTATCCAAACGTTGTTTTTATTTATGTAGAACAAAATCCGCTCTCAAAGAACAAATTGCCCAATACTTGTACTATTCTCCAAGAGCAAGAAATAAAATTCTTGTTCTAGTAATGGAATTTCTAAAAGAATAGAAACAGGTGGGAGAGTTTTCAAACAGTCCCCTAGTATTTGGTTGTTTTCTTTTATGTTTTACGTCTCTCTTTGTGTTATATACGTATGTTGCAAGGTTCAAAGTATCGATATGTATCATACCAGGAGCTTCTCGATATGTCCCTACAAGGACTGTATCGGATCAGACCATGGTTCAGAGGGTAACCAGGACTTAAACCAACCCCTCTGAACCGATTTTGAAAAAAATAAATAAAAGCACAGGCCGATGGGCGTATGGGCCTGTGTTGATATTTAAGAACCTTGGTATGTTATGTTGTGCTCTCTCTCTCTCTAGATGTTTCTCCATTAGTTTGATTGTTTCATCTCATGAGCGTGATTTCTACAACTTTTAAAATTTAACGTTTTATTATAGAAAGAGTGATGTTATTTAAAGGAGTGCACAAATTGTAGAAACAAAAAATCATTTGTACAAGAGCTCTTAAAAACACTAGGGTAATCTACTTGGCAGTTGGCACTCGGGCTTAGTTCATTCAAACCAGCTAGCTCGGTAATTAGTCTGATTCTGAAATCTGGTTCAGACAACCAAGTATGAGGTCAACTCATAGAGAAGCCATCTGCTTCTCAATTTCTTGTTATGCCTCTCACATTGTTTCTTGCTCTGGTTGTTCTTCCAATTGGTGCACTAGCTCTCTTAATTTCCTTTGGCCAAACGACTATTTATTCCATGACTTCAAAAGGGTTGAAAAGGAAATTTTCTTTTACACAGTTGGATCTGATCCTTCAACATTTAAGTGCCAGGCCCAACTCTCTCTGAAAAGCACAGGCGTATGGGCTTTGTCAAGTCTCTTCTTGATTTTTTTTCCAACCCATTTATTTGTTTGTTTGCCCATGCAGTTATTGGGTGGGGGTCCTTGGTCTGATTTAGTCTGATCTATTTATAGCCCAATTTGTCTTCCCTAGGGGTGTCAATTGGACTGGATTTGGTCCAATCCGATCCAGTCCAATGTGAGTCCATTACAAATGGACTAGGTCCAATCCAATCCAATGAATATTTGGATCATCTTGGATCGGTCCACCAATTCAATGTTCAGACCATCCAATTTGTTCAAATTCATTTTAATTTAGATTGGTTTCAACCCAAATCTGGTCCATTGACACCTATATTCTTATCTTATATCAATGGACTGGATATTAGCTTATTCCAACCAAATTCAATATTCTTATCTTATATCAATGGGCGTGCGCTGATGATTCTTGTGTTGCCTACCCACTTTTAGAATCATATTTTCACACAAGAGTTCAATACCACATACTTTCTACAACCTTTCACTTTTGTTTTAAAACGATTTGATCTTTTCAAAATTGATTAATTTTTTCATAATACCACAAAGACATTACCAATCGATTGTGGCTTAATTGATGGATTTTCTAGCTATTTGTAGCGAAGACCTGGGATTAAATCCCCTTTTGCCACCAAGATTGAGGGTTATGGGTAGGGAACGGGCTACCCCTGTTGTGGGCCCATGAAGCCAACGAAGATATTTGGAAACTCATCCAAAATTAATTAAAATTTAAGGTTATCTTTGATTTGATCATGTTAGAGCATAAACATGCGAACCTCCACAAATTTTAAAGGATAGGGAAGAAGAGCTGCTTATATTCTCTGTGTTAATGCTTTGGATAATTTGAAAAAGCCGAAACTTTTTTTTTTATTTTTATTTTTGAAGGCACTAACTTAAATCTAGTGCGAACTGACAGTGGTTAGTTGCATGGTTTTTAAAAATGAATCGATGATCGAACCGGTCAGGTGTCAGGTTACCAGTTCAAATGGTCCAATCGTTCGACCCAAACGGCTGGCCCGTTCTAATAAAAAAATTAAAAAAATTGGAAAACGATTAAAACGGTTCGAACGATTAATCGGCCGGTTCAGTGATTTGTTGACCAAAATCAACGGTTTTGGAAGAAAAAATGGGTTTGGGGGAAAACGAAACCAATTAAATGATCGGTTTCTGGTTTTTCCGGTCCGACTATCCAGTCTGGTTCGATTTTGAAAACCATAGTTAGTTGGTAGGATGACTCATAGGAAAAAAAAGACTTGGGATCAAATTCTACTGCCATCAAGGTTGGGGAGGGGGATGGGCTACCCATTATGTATCTTCATTAAAAAAACAACTACTAAGATGTCAAAAGTTAGGTTCTTTTACCCAACAGAAAAATGATTTGTATTTTTTTTAACTAGTACAGAAAAAGTGAGAGAGGGGACTCGGCCAATGTGATATAGTAACTAAGGCCATGTTTGGTTCAACTTTCATTCTTTCTCATTTTTATCCAAGATGAAATTCTACAATAGATAAGAATGGATAAAAATGGGTAGTATGAGAAAATATTGCTATGAACTAAACATTTTTTTCCTAAAAAATGAATTCTTTTTAAACTAGCAAGTGTCATATGTTCCTCATTGTCGGTATAGATGCTTACCAATGGATGACTGACAGTCAATGCTTGTTGGCATAAGTTTCCACAACAATTTTCCAATGGTGGTGGTTTATAGACCCACCTCATTGTTGGCATAGAATTTCTTTAAAGAATGAAAAATGAGCAAGATGGGGAATGATTATTTTTCACATTACAGGCTATCTCGATTTTTATGCTATGAATTGATTTTTTTTATGAAAATAAATGAAGCCCATGGCAAGTATTTTATAACCAAATGCTCTAATGTTATTTATTCTTACCCATAAGTAAGAATTAAAAAAAATGAGACCTACTAAAAGAGCAAACCAAACAAGGCCTAAGATTCTTGTTTTATCAACTCAACGTCCATGTAATCTTTTCCCTCACAAATGGAATACATAAAGAATTTTTTTAGTCAAAGTGGGGTTTTGACTCATTAGCCTTCAGGAATGCTGAGTGAGTAAAATCTATGTAGTTAAAACCTCTCCTGCCATCACACCTTGTATAAAGTTCTATGCGATACACGTCTCCTGATCAAAATCAAAATGGTGCGCATCAGTTTGGAGGGATGCGACAGGATTTATGCTCTTCTATATAATAATAAAAGATTGTCTCAACTTGTGGCTGTAGTTTAGTGGTGAGAATTCCACGTTGTGGCCGTGGAGACCTGGGCTCGAATCCCAGCAGCCACAGTCCGACCTTAGCTCAGTTGGTAGAGCGGAGGACTGTAGTGGGAATGACCTTTAGCCATCCTTAGGTCGCTGATTCGAATCCGGCAGGTCGGATCTTTTTCATTTTTTATTATCTTCGTCTTCTTCAAAAGAGAAAAAGCTGCAGCAACAGAAGATATGTTGGTTAGGAGACGAAGGAGAGGCAATGTTGGCAACCCAGAGAAGACACACTCCTCTGCACCTACGTTAAATAATATGGACCAAAGGAATGGCAGCTCATCTCTCAACGCATGGGCAAACCCCTGGACCGGAACCTCATCATCTCTCTCCAAGCCAAGTATGACAACAAGTGGAAGAAAATCACCTCCGAAGTCCTCGGTCGCACTGCCAAGCGCCTTGGCAAGTGGTGGGAAGTCTTCAAGGAGAAACAACTCAAGCTGCAACAACAACAGCAATAGAAAACCCAACAATAGCAACGTCTCCTCCCCTCGAACCACCCTGACCCATCTACACCCTCGCCAACCCCACCACCCACCACCACTCCTGAACACTCTCTACACGGCCAATACAACCACATTTTGGAAACCTTTGTAGAAAAGTATGTTCAACCCAAGCTCCTCAAGCTCCAACAAAAAAGTATATTAAATGTTGTTTAACATTTCCATAAGTCGGTGATTCAGTCACCTCGAATAACAGTAAAGCTAAGTCTATTTTCAATGTTTGTTCCATTTCGATACAAGCCGTTGTATCTTCCAAAGTAATTTAGTTCCAAAGTCTGCCGATACCTCTCCCTAGGTGAGTTAATGAGTCTTCGTTCATGTACATCGGTTCACTTTCAACTGACTCCATCTTCTATATATATCCCCCTCTGTACTGCTTCGATTAATCAGAGAAAAACATCAGAATACAACTTCATTTTTTCTCTCGATCCATTTAGCTCTATTCAGTTTTCTCTGTCATAATTTTTTGATTTTACTATTACTATCATCCGCAAACCATCAAAGTACGACCACATTCTTGATGCCTATAGTCATCTCCCACTCATCGGACGACAACTGTGGTTTATTTTTTCTAGAAAATTACCTAGTTAGGATCCTTATGGAACAAAGAAAATCAAGATCTCCTTTCCAAGAACTAAAAGTTCACCTTCCATTTGCACTCTACATTCTTATTTCTTCTACTATTTTTTCCTTCTACCTATTTCAAGGTTGTTGTGAAGGGCTGCATTTCAGTGATGTTCTCATGCTTGATCTTGAAACAATGTCATGGAGCACCCTTGTAACTACAGGTCAACAGCCTGGTACAAGAGACAACATAGTTTTAGGGGGTACCAACGGCTCCAAGAAGATAAATGACCTTCATATATTGGATCTTAGAATGGACCCAACCCAAATGTGAAGGGACCCCACCTTTCCCTCATGAGAGTCATACTACCACAATCATTGGCGATGATAGATTTGTGATATTTGGAGGTAGTGGAGAAGGGGAAACTGAGTTTGTTCTTCCTGGATTCGTCTCTTCCTGGGTTCATTCCTCTTGAGGGCAAAGAGTATAATATATAGATAGGGGTATTTTAGTAAAAATATGTGTACATTAATTCATAAAAGGGTAAAATAGGTATTTAAAAAAAGATGATTGATTTAACGTTTTCCGTCCTAGTCATTGATGGGAGGTATTTGTCAATTTTTTCAAAAATAAAGGGGAGGCTTTTGCTAAAGTGAAACTATAGGGGAGGTTTTTATGATTGTCAGAAACTCCAGGGGAGGTTTTGGTATTTTACCCTTATTATTATTATTATTATTATTATTATTATTATTATTAGCATTTTATTAATTTGTTTTCTTGGAGCATTTTATTAAATTTTGCATTCCACTTTCATCATTAATAAAAGTAATTTTTATTTTAACAATTATTTTTATTTAATATGATGAATATATAACATTAGAAATGTTTCCAAATGTTTTTGACAAAATTTTGTATTTTTATATTTTTTATATTCTATCTTTTCTAAATATTTATTATTCAATTATGACATCATAAGTTGATTTGAAAATTTGGATCATTGACCCATCATTTATTATTCAATTTTTTTTCTTATTTCGTTTGTACATTTTTATTTTTTTTTTAATTTATTATTTAACTATCATGTCATCAATTAGCCCATTTGACCCAAATTGCTAACCCACCACCCAAAAATGATTAAACCACTAACCAAAAACCGGTGGCTAAAACGGTTTAGGTTTCAGGTTGTTTTGAAAACATTGCTCGATAAGAAAAAGAAAATTCAAAAAAAAAAAACTTTGATTGTTCGTACACAAAAAACAGGCAAGAGACACACTCCTTTATTTTACGAGGTGAGAGAGAGAGCACTTGGCGGAATGCATGGTTTAAACCTATTAAACCATGCACTCCGCCAAGACTTTGTCGGATTGAAAAATTGTTGAACCAAATCCAACTAGAAATACTAGAAATTGACCAACTCAGATCGAATTAAATCAGTTTCATGAGTTTGATGAACAAATTATTAAAATAACATTTAACACACAAATAATTATTAATTATTTAAAAATTAAAATATAAAATAATTATAAACTCTTATGTATTTATATTATTTAACTTTTGCTTAACAATTCCGTACATCACATTGCACCTACAATTAATCAATTCCTATTGTACCAACAAGGATACGGTATAAACAATCACCTGAACTACTTGGATGACTAGGATTGATTGATTATTGAAAAAAATGTACATTATTCGGTCATATAAGGATTAATTTCAATATTCCATACAAGGAAAAGGAAATTAAAAAACAAAGTTTGATTATTCACATACACAACCCAAAAGTGACGACAATATATTACAATGACATAGACATAATTCTCCAACTTGGCACACAAACAGTACTCATACACTTCACTCCCTCCAACATGATTTCTGCATATGACTTCTTCAACCAAGCTCTTTTTACTGCTACAGGCTACAGCTGCCACTAGAACTTAATTACTTTCCAACGGTAACACAAAACCTAAACCACGCATTCCTCCAAGATTTATTCAACAACAAATTAATACAAACTCCCAGAAACCCAACTACAAACCCTGCAGCCAAGCCGATGTAGAACCACAGTGCTTCATCTTCATCATCATCTCCTTTTCCACTTGGGCTACCAACCAGTTCTGTACCATTATTAACCAAATCAAGTCCTGTGCATCTCCTTCCGGTTGGAGCTCCACATAAGTCGGGGTTGCCCATGTAAATGGATGAGTCGTCAAGGGTTTCGAGCTGACCGGTCAGTGGAATTGGGCCGGACAGGTTGTTGAAGGATAAGTTCAGGCGACCAAGGAAGTGTAAAGCAGACACGTTTGGAGGGATTCCACCGGAGAGTTGGTTTCTCGATAAATCAAGAGATTCCAAACTTGTTAATCTGTCGATGTTCTTTGGAATCCTTCCGATCAAATGGTTTTCTGATAAATTCAAACTCTGCAGTCCATGAAGATTTGTTAGTTCTTCTGGTATCTCTCCACCCAAGTTATTGTTTGAGAGGTCCAAGCTAGTTAGAAGCGAAAGTGTCTTGGTATACTCAAGTTGTCTTCCTTTTGTAGAGACATCGATCTTCTCGTCGTAGCTGAATTTAAGTAGTCTATCATCCAGGTTTCTTTGATTCCAGTGAAAGGCTCCATCCATGACAACATGCAGATTACCAAAGTCGAGATTTAAAATATCTTTTGTGGTATTCGGATTCAAAACCATGGCAGTAAGATTGCCAAAACAACGAGGGATGGTTCCAGATAGATTATTGTGTGCAAGGTCTAATATTTGTAGATGCTCTACTTGACAGAGTTGTGGAGGAATACCACCATGAAAATTATTTGACCCAAGTCTGAGAATATGTAGATTTGTTAGGTTCTTGCCCATCCATGGAGGGATTCTCCCAGATAATTCATTCTCACCAAGATCAAGAATAATCAATTTTGTTAAATTGTTCAAAGCAAATGGGATCTCTTCGCAAAAATTGTTCTTGCTCAAATGTAAAGACACGAGACCATGTAGAGAACCCATTGAACTTGAAATTTGTCCAGATAGATTGTTACTTGCCAAATCCAACATAAACAAGTAATCGAAATTCTCCCAACACTGAAGAAGCTGTCCAGATAGCTGGTTGTTTGAGAGATCAAGAAACATCAACTTTCTGGCTTTGCAAAATGACACGGGTATGCTACCTGTGATCCGGTTATCAGAAAGAATTAAGAACAGCATCTCAGGAAGAAAATAGCCCATGCTTGAGGGAATATGTCCAGAAATCAAGTTGTTGGAGAGATCAAGGTACCAGATAGTATCAGCTATGCTAGGGAACCAGTCAGGGATGGTACCTGAGATGTTCGTGTTGGACATGTCAAGAACAAAGAGGATCTTTTGTGTTTGAAGCCACAAAGGGAACCCTGGCCCCAATTTGCATGATGCCATTCTAATGGATTGCAACTGGAAAGGGGGAGACCATTCCAAGCTCACATTCAATTTCAACGAATTAGAGGAGATAGCTAGCACTTTTAACTTCACGAGATTAGTAAAATGAAGTTCAGATAAGACGCCATTCAAAGAGTTATTTGAGATATCCAAAATTTCCAGTTCTGAGAGTTGGCCAAGGCTTTTCGGAACAGTTCCACTAAAATTATTAGAATAAAGATCTAATGATTTCAGGGATGAGAATAATTCAAGTGATGCAGGGATTTGTCCAGAAAATGAGTTGAAAGAAAGGTATATGTACTCCAAGGAAGGCCCCAGAAATTCAAATATCTCTCCCCTAAGTCTATTTTGTGATAAATCTAATTTGCGCAAGTTGCAGAGGTCCTTCAATGTACTCGGTACCTTTCCTTCAAAGCCATTTTCACTTAAGTCGAGTTGTTCAAGGTTGGTAAGATCAAACAACCAAGCAGGAATTATGGAATTGAATCCATTCCGACTAAGATCAAGGACCACAAGCGATGTGAGGTTGACATGGAGAGGAGGAATGAGGATGCTAGCAGCAAGTCCACACTCAGATAAGAATACTTCTGAAAGAGAAGGAAGAGAATTGGACAGCTCCTGCAACGTACTTGGTATCTCGCCTTTGAATTCATTCCTACTTAGGTCAGTTTGTTCAAGGTTGGTAAGATTGAACAACCAACGAGGAATCGTGGAATTGAATCCATTCCCACTAAGATCAAGAACTGCAAGCGATGTGAAGTTGATGTGGTGTGCAGTCGGACTCGGGATGTTGGCAGCAAGTAGTCCCGAATCAGATAAGAATAACTCTGAAAGAGAAGGAAGAAAGTTGGAGAGCTCCTGCAAAGTACTTGGTATCTCGCCTTTGAACTCATTTTCACTTAGGTCAAGTTGCTCAAGGTCGGTAAGATTTAACAACCAACGAGGAACTGTGGAATTGAATCCATTTCCACTAAGATCAAGAACTCTTAGTGATGTTAAATTCACATGCAGAAGAGGAATGGGGATGTCGCCAAGGTGACAATCAGATAAGAATAACTTTGAAAGTGAAGGAAGCATGTTGATTATATATAACCAACCACTCACCCTCTGGAACATAGCTGTAGACAAATCCAAGTGTTGCAGGGAAGACAGATGAGAAAGCCACTGTAGGTTATCAATGATAAGGTTTGGATTTCCTCCAAGATCAAGCTGTTTTAAGCTTGAGAGGTTTCCAAGATGACGAGGAACGACTCCAGAGAAGAGTGAAGAGGAGAGATTAAGGTACCTCAAATTTTTCATGGAACCCAAGAAACTTGGGATTTCACCTAGGAAAGTGTTACCGCTTAGATCCAGGTAATTCAAGTGTTTTAGATCGAGTAGGAAGGGATTTACCTCACCAGACAGTTCGGAGCTATGAAGGTTGAGCTTCAAAACATGACCTGTAGTGTTATCGCATCCAACTCCAAACCATGCACAACAATCTTCGCCCACCCAAGACGACACTCCGCTTAAGTGATAATGGAGACCTTTCTTGAATTTGATAAGTGCTTGTCGCTCTCTCCTTAAGCAACTCGAGTTTGGAAGTACTCCTTTGCTTTTACTAAACTCGTCTGTTAGGAATACAAGCATTATCAGAATTGAGAACCAGCAACTTTTCCATGTCCCCATGGCGTTGGCGTTGGGTTGCATGAATGATTCACAAGATGATGATATTCTTATATCTAGATTAATAGTCAAGCTGACATCTGCTGTGACTATGGTCACAAATTAAAACATGACATATATCTACTGATTTTTTCTGAAGATAATGGCGTACGTGTCAGTACCTGCTGCACTTGTTTGCTCTCAATTTATCGTGGATTTGCATTTAGGGGCTGTTTGATAACAGCTCAAGACGCTGGATGGAGTTTATTGCTTTGTGTTTCAGAAAATAAGTTTCTAATGAAGTTGCGTAATGGGTGAAACAGAAGTTGGATATATATATATATATATATATATATATATATATATATATATATATATATACCCCTGAAAATTTTAATTATTATTTAATTGTTTGTTTGCTCTGAATTTTCATTTCAGCAACTTCAGTCGTTATCAACCAGTCCCTTAGTTTGTTACTAGTTTCAGGTGTGCTGTACACATGCATGCTTTCTTTGCATCAGTAATAAGGATCCATGTGTTTTTCGGGAATGAATAGGGTATAGAATCAAAATTAGAATGGGCCATTTCGATTCTAGCAGTTTGGTTGGGTGGAACGGCCATTCCCTTCCCTCCCTTGGTATTGAAATTCAATTCCAGCTGATTTTAATTTTCTTTTCGATTCCTATTTAAACCAAACAAATTATGGAAATGGCCCATTCTGATTCCGATTCTGATAAATTTTGATTTCAATTCTGATTCTGATTCTAACTGTAAGCCAATTCAACCCTAAATTTGTTTTCAATGTTTTTTAGTTCATTTTTATTAGTGACATTATCCAGATTTAATTTCCCATCCCAATCTAGTCTATACACGATAGATAAGATTTGGATTCAAAAATATTAATGCATCAAATTAGGATGTAAATATATCCGTATTAATCTAATCCCTCTGATCTGCAGCCCTACTAACTCCACTTTATGTTTTAACTTTCAGTTAATTTTCAATTTTTTTTTTCTAGCAAATAGGTTAGAAGGCCTTCCATGTGGATGGTTAGGTACCCTTGAATGATGCCAATATCTGGATCACCACAGAATACAAAATAATGAAATATATTTCATTTTCTAAAAGTAATATTCTATATCTATACTACTATAAAAAGTGTGAATACCTCTCTGTGGTTTTTGAATTTTTTTTTTTGGATTAAAATATCCCTCTTTTTGAATTTAGTTACTCTCCATTGAGAAGACAGAAATTATAATTTAGATATTACTCTTTAGTGCATTTCATTCTCTCATTAAGCCTCATATTTAAGTCATTAACTCCCCATTCTCTCTCTCATTGAATACTATATTTAATGTATTTATATCTATCATCATTAAATTTCACTAATTAATTAATTTATGAACACTGATATTAATAGTATAAAATTTATATTGTTAAAATCAATTAAAAACTAAACTGGTTTTTCTAAGTGGCAAGTGAGTAGTTCTACCATTTGGGTCAAAATAGGTGAATCGATCCATGATGCCATAATTAATACTAAAAATTGAAAAATAGATAAAAATACATAAATATAAAAAAACTAAACCAGATTTTCTTATACCTTTGTATCTTTTTTTCTTCTTTATTTATATACTTTACCTTTCTCAAAAAAAAAATGAATAGAAAAATTAGAAAATTTAGGCACACATTTAATATTATATATTGTCATATTAAACAAAAATAGGTATGATAAATAAAAAGCATTTTTATTAATTATGAAAATAGGATGAAATTTTGAAAATTGATCAATAAATGAAACCATTTTCCTTCCTAAGTGGTGGGTTATCAACCCGTGATGTCATAGTTACATAATATTTAAAAAAGAATAGAAAAATATAAAAATACATACAATAGAAAATTTTAGACAGATCACTTATATTATATATTAATTCATATTAAAAATAAAGAAAAGTGTGGTAAACAAGAATTATTTTTATTAATGATGTAATAAAAGAAAAGATTTAAAACCAAATGGGTCAACCCATGCTATTATAATTGAACAATAAAAATTAAAAAAATAAAAAATATTAGTAGAGAATTTGGCACATTTGTAATATCATAAAGCCATCATATTAAAGAAAATAAATGTGATAAATAACAATTAAATTTATTGATGGTGGAAATGGAATACAAATTTTAAATTTGTATTGTAAAGGAAATATTTTCCATTCTAGGAATGGGTGAAGAATTCAATAGTCTTGGTTAATCCATGTTGTCACAATTAAATAATAAAAAATAAAAAAATAGATAGAAATACTGAAATCTATAAAAAAGGCAGAAAATTTTATAGGATAATTAGGAGATATCCTGATATTATACATTCAGCATATAATACAAAAAATTAGTGACATAATTAAATAATGAAAATTTAAAATTAAATATAAACATAAAATATTATAAAAGAAAATAAAAAATTTAGTCACATCTATGATAATATTATTGTTATTACAATTATTATTATCTAAAATTGTCATATGCAATGCACATACACATTTACCAAAATCTTAAAAGATACATTAGCTCTAGAATATTAATTAAATGCAAGTCCTTCATTTCAGGGAAGAAATGTATAATAAACATAATTTTTGGTTCATTACTTCGAAAGCTTTCCACCCTGTTCACTAATTGTGAACCCCATTTCTCTTAAATAACAATAAAAGGAATAAGTAAAGTTAATTAATAGAAGTGAACAAATAAAGATTTTACTCAAATGTAAAAATTTCTTGAAAACTAAAAAATTCCTTTAAGTTGTGTTTGGTTTGAAGGAAAAAGTAGGGAAAGGAAGGGAAATAAAGGGAAACCTTTACAAACCTTGCATAGGTTTCCTATGTTTCCCTTCTTTTCTCTACCTTCAAACCAAACATAGCCTTCTTTAAAATTAGTCCATGTATGATTGATTATAACCTTACAACCCCCTCATTATAATGAACTAATTTATTGGATGGTTCAGTTTATTAATAACGTTATTTGAAATTATTTCTAACTTTATTTTTTAAGCCTGCGTCTTGTTGCAGTGCAAACTTTGATTTATTTTTTGTTCTAAGTTTTATCTTCTTATTTTATTTGATTGCAGTAAAAATGAAGTAAAATAAGACCTAAGGCTGAGTTTGGAAGGAGTACAAATGCAAATATGTAGAGTGTAAAACCTTATATTTTATATTATTTTGTATGTATTAACCCTGTACATATTTGCATTTGTACTACTTTCAAACTGAGCCTAAAAAGAATAAAGTAAAACCCAAAACAAAATGAAACCAAAACTTACATTCTTTTACTTTTATGCATTAAAATTACATTGCAACCAAACACAGCTTAAAGTTCATATACTTCAATCTTCTAATAGGTCAAGTCTATCAATGTCGGAATGAGTTCCAACTACCAAATACTTAACTTTCGTAAATGTTAGGAACACGTCATCTCAATTCACCTGAACCCGCACGATACGTTGGGTTGTTACCAGCCTACTGGGGAGGACCAGAGGCGCAAGCCATGATCCCAAGGAATAAATAATGGTATATCAGAAGACATAAAAAGAGATTCGGTCTGATCCCAAGATGTTCTTGATATGCGGCCGTAGTGGCTTGTTGGGATGGTTGGTGGGATCATCAGATGCGAACTCATAAAATCATTAATTAATGTTGTTAGTTTCGGGTCAATGTAAAATTATTTCAAAACCAAAAAATTCCCTTTGGGTCTTCTTCAAAACCACATCTCTTAAAGTCCAAACAAGTTTCTAGTAAGTCTATCATAAATTAGAACTGAAGTAGCTGTAGCTTATAAATTGCTAGCCCTTCTAGGAGGGGCTTACCATGTATGCTTGATGTTTTTGAGTAGTTGGTTCCTTTATCATAATACTTTTCGGTTTACTAGCCTATTGCCTATTGAGGAAGAACAGAGATGCAAGGCATTACTAGATTTAAGAGATCGGGAAAAGATAGGGGAATTATCATAATAACACAAATTTTATTATCTATTTAATTGGGTTAGATGATGATATGAGAAAAACTTAACCAATCAACCCCTATTATAGAAGTAGTGGCCAATCAAGAATCACAAAAGGGGAATCAATTTGTCTTGAAATAAACCCTAAAATAATTTTGAAGATGTAAAGATTTAAACGTAAGCACTCATAGTTACAAAGGTCATGGTTTTACTTGACCATTGAATCACTTAAGTGATTTAATCATTTATTTTCATTTTAATATTCGAATGTATATTACAAGTAACGTAATAGGTAATATTTACAAAGTTTAAATTATAATGATAAGTTTTGAAGCATATATTAATATTTTACGATAATCTACATTTTGACTTTAAAAAGATAATATACATATTAAATTAGTCAATTTAATCAATATACATACTATAACTTTTATTATATTTATTAAAAATCAAGTTTTTAAAAAATATGTTTAAAAAAAAAAACTGACCCCAAAACCACCAAGACCGGAGAACTAATCCTAAAACCGACCTTCACAGACCAATATAAAAATTTATTCAAAACCAATAAATTCTTGTGGGGCTTTCTTAAAACCAATCCATGTATGACTATAACCTTACAACCCCCTCATTACAATGAACTAATTTATTGGATAGTTCGATTTATTAGCAGCAACATTGTTCGAACTCATTTCTTTTTTTTTTTTTTTTTTGCTTGATACCTTAGAGGCCATATCCAAACAATCTTTTTAGTGGATCAACTCTAAATTAATGCTTACCATTATTTTTGAGGATCCCATCTATCAAAGTCCCCATGGATATAGTTTTGTGCAAAATACACATTTCCACAAGTGATCTATTAGGCCCCGTTAGTTTTTTCGGTAAGTTACTTACCCAGGTAAATGCAATTACTTGAGTAAGTTTTTCCTGGGAAACACTTACCCAAGTAAGTGTATTCACTCATGTTCTTTTATTTCCCAAGTAAAAAAGGAAATGACCATTTTAACCATAAAAAATCATTATTAAAATGGGCATTTTTATCC